AGTGAAGGGGGAGGGGATAAACACAGGGAGGAGAGATGGAGAGCAGACGAACAAAGAACGGTAAAGGGAAAGTAATGGAAAGTATGGAGTGTGGAGTGAAGATGAAGGCAAAAGAGGATAAGAAAAGGCTCAAGAATGAGTGTGTCCTTGACGACAGAGAGGACATACATTGTAAGGAACACATGTAAGACCTAGCTGAGCATTCTCAGTGCAACAATCGCTACGACGGGTGGCATTGAGCATGTCCGCCATACACCCCCGACAAATGGCATGTCGATTGCAGGCCAAAATGAAAGAAGAACGGTCACCACAAAAGAGCATGCATTCAGTATAGCGCCCATGGCCGCAAAATGGACATATAGTGTCCGGATGCGGAGGGTGCCTGCAGTCAGGAACGGTGGGACAGTCCTCTGCACACATGGATGCAGAAACCATGTCATTGTAGTGATTGTGACAAAGATGATGGCGGCTACAGCCGAGTGTAACAGTGTTTGTGGTTGTGCAAAGAAGAAGGTCGCAAAGTGTTGGTGCATTGTCTTGCTGCAGCACGGGGCCAGAGGAATGATCTTCGACATAAAAGAGATTGTGGATGGTTTGTTGTGGCAAGAAAACAAAGTTATTTTGTAAGAAATCAGTGACATCAGTCATGGCATGGACCATGGTGCTGTTGTCCCACAGTTCCCAGTGGTCAGAGGCATGTACAATGGCCATGTAATGGCCAGGGCAGTGCACAATGCAGGCCGAGAAGTGGGATGGAGGATTAAACCACTCACCTGCTCGAGCATTGCGTAGTTCAAGTTGACGGTCCCTCATTGCTACTTGTAGGACAGCAATGGTAAAGCCTCCTTCGCTGGTATAATTACAATCCTCTGGCTGTCGTTGGGGAAGATCAGCATCAAGCTGAACAGCGATTGCAAGGAAGTCTGATGGTGTATAAAACGGGTGATGCAGAATGTGAAGACATATATTAGTTGTTGTCAAACCACAGAGATTGGTGAGGTTCTCAGGCTCGTTTGTTGGATGTTGGCCAACAATTTACAGATCACCCAGATGGTGTTGCAAGCCCAAACTGTGTTGGGTTGTTTGCTGGTCAGTCATTTGCAGATCACCCACGTGGACTGCGATCCGGGCAGATCATGTTCCAATCCCTCAACGTTTAGGGCTGCATCCTGAGTAGGGACTATACCTGGAGTCGGGAGTGTACTCTGGGCAGCACCTGCATCCTGAGTAGGGACTGGTGGCTGCCTACAGGCAGCTGGACTGTCTGCAGGAGGCATAGGAGCGGATATTGCCGTTTGAAACAAAGGAACCGCAACAACCTGTGGAGGCGGCACAGAGAGAATCGGGGCAGACAAAGAAACAGGTTGTTGATCCCCGAACAAGTGACGATGCCGAGGATGTCGTCGGTGATACACAACAAGAGGAGTAGTGGTGTTGCAAACAGAAGTTGAACTTGTACCTAGCAACACAGGTGGAACAATGGGGACAATGGAAACTGGAGGGTCTGTTTGCAAGCGAGACCGTGGAGGAGATTGGGGTGGTGAGGAGGAACGCAGTCGTCTACGGCCAAGCACAAACAAAGATGAGAGGGGGGTGCATTGGGCCAGATTTCGGAGCAAAGGACGTGAGCGTCGGAGAGATTGTGATGTTCTTTGCATTGGAGCTGCAGGATAGGAAGTTGTAGCAGTAAAAACTAAAGTAGGGGGAATTACAGTTAGGGAAACTGCTGTACTGAAAACTGCAGCAGTGGAAACCGCAACAGTAGAAACTGTAGCAACGGAAATTGAAGCAGTGGAAATTGGAGCAATGGAGACTGCAATAGTGGACACTGCAACAGTGGAAACCGCAACAGTGGACACTGCAGCAGTGGAAACTGCAGTAGTGGACACTGCAGCAGTGGAAACCGCAACAATGGACACTGCAACAGTGAAAACTGCAGGAGTGGAGGCTCCAACAGTGGAAACTGCAGGAGTGGAGACTGCAGCAGTGGAAACTGCGGTAGCAGCAAATGAGTAAGCAGGGGCAGGACGAGAGCATCGTGGGGGCGAAGAAGAAATTGGATGATACAAGGACCATCGCAACATGCGTCAGAACCACTGAGAGAGACACGTCACATGTGTAGGATAGCAACGTTGGTGGGAGCGCATGTAGCAGGTCCACCCCTTAGCAAGGGTTGGTGAGGAATGCCCACGCGAAAGCATACGACGAGTAAGTGTTGTTGCCGCAGTTCAAAAGTCCTGCCAATTGTTACAGATTTGTTCAAATCTGGTCAATTGCCCACTGAACACACCAACCGATTGATGGGAAGGAATGTTGGAGGTCGCACTTGGATAACGAATGACAGGGAAATCCCAAGCAGACGTTTTATCAAAGACGCTCATGCGAAGCGAGCCATCGGAACGGACCCGTAGCTGCATACCTAAAAAGGTACAGGAGCCATCTGTAGCTGTAGTCTCCTTCCACTCCGGCCCATAGTGTTCTGGTGGAGGAGGTAAATGTCCCCATGAAAGAACATCATCAATGAGGCGATAGGTGAAGGTGTATTGTTGAGCAGCTTGAAGATCATATTGACGAATGTCATCAACAAAGCGTGCTTCATCCCAATACAGCGTTAGATTAGAAATTTTTGGGCCAGCATTCGTTCCCATTGGAATACCGATAATTTGTTTCCGAAGCATTTATATATATATATATATATATATATCGTCAAATAGAATATATATATATATATATATCGTCAAATAGAACTGCCCAGTAAACCGTAGGCAGAGAGGGAGAAGAGGACAACAAACGAGGGGCTGTGACAAACTGTTTCGTCGGAGTTTCACCGACTCATCAGGAGGCTGAACCCTCAACAGTCTGTAGAATCCCCTCACTGATTACACTGTAAATGATAATCTACCTTAACCAAAATCAAAGTAGACTATCACTCACCCACACCAGATGGAAAACTCTATAGACTGTCGGTTCACACCCCATCACAAGCCAGCAAAACACCCACGAAACAAAGAAAGGTCTGTCACAGCCAAAAAATACACTCCAGACACGCCGCTGGCACTAGAGGCACAGCATGGCCGCGTATATAAATATATATATCGTCACAAACAGAACTGCCCGGTAAACCGTAGGCAGAGAGAGAAAAGAGGACAACAAACGAGGGGCTGTGACAAACTGTTTCGTCGGAGTTTCACCGACTCATCAGGAGGCTGAACCCTCAACAGTCTGCAAAATCCCCTCATTGATTACACTGTAAAGGATAATCTACCTTAACCAAAATCAAAGTAGACTATATATACATATGAATCGACAGTCTGTAGAGTTTTCCATCTGGTGTGGGTGAGTGATAGTCTACTTTGATTTTGGTTAAGGTAGATTATCATTTACAGTGAGTGAGGGGATTCTGCAGACTGTTGAGGGTTCAGCCTCCTGACGAGTCGGTGCAACTCCGACGAAACAGTTTGTCACAGCCCCTCGTTTGTTGTCCTCTTCTCTCTCTCTGCCTACGGTTTACCGGGCAGTTATCTTTATGACGATATATATACGATATATATATATATATCGTCAAATAGAACTGCCCGGTAAACCGTAGGCAGAGAGGGAGAAGAGGACAACAAACGAGGGGTTGTGACAAATTGTTTCGTCGGAGTTTCACCGACTCATCAGGAGGCTTATATATATATATATATATATAGACAGAGCTGCCCGGGGGAGAAGAGGACAACAAACGAGGGGTTGTGGTGTCTGTCTCTTTGCATGTCTGTCCTTTCATTTTTCTTTTCTTCGCTCATCTTATTCCCTCGTCTACTTCACATGCTTACGCTCTTAGTCAATAGACCCTGAGGCAAAAGTTGTTCTGTTTACTTTTTTGCATAACATAGTTTTTTTTTTTCGGGATTCCCCCCCCCCCTTTTGCCAGGAACTTCCCTGGTCCTTGCATGGCCGGGCTGCCCGGGAAAACAAGGTGACCCGGGCGGCCCGGCTGGTAGCTTAGATACAATCATAAGCATTAGTTAATTGTTACATATGCTGCAAGTTCCGTCAGAACTGGAGTAATGGACAGCCCACTAAATATGCACATTAAGCTATATAACTTGGATTGTACGAGTAAAATACAAAACAAAATGATACAATCATAAGAATTAGTTAAAACTTAAAAGTTATATATAGAATATAAATCTGGATATGCAATCTGTTGAAGCTCAAGTGCGAACAAGCACAAGATCAGACGATATGGACTGCACAGGATAGACAAGACAGCTGTCAAGACACAAGCGCAAACCTGTTTTTAAGTTTTATTTTCTTTTTTGCTTTTTTTTTGTTAAATACGACAGCCGTGAGATATCATCATTGAAGCTGACTGAACCCAGGTAATTCAGAATTATGTTATTCTGGGCATCTGATTATATCCGGATTCAAACTTCAGTCTGTATTTCAACAGTTTGTGGGTGTACCAACTGAGCTAGGCTCATTGGTACACAAGCGCAAACTCAAATTGCCAGCTGTGAATGTTTGCAACGAAGAGGTCAGGGGGAGTGAGGTGGGCGTGAGGTTTCGTGTGCCCAGGGAGAGCAGAATTGGGGGTGGGCGGAGGGAGGAAGGGGGGAAGGGGGGAAGGGGGGAAAAGGGGGAAGGGGGGAGTGGGGAGGTTGGAGCTGGCAGCCTTCGTCTTAATCGGGTCTGACAGAAATCTCAAGGGACGGCAAGCTGACGCTCAAACTTCTCCATTCAATGGAGTAATCAAATCTAGTCCGGGATCTTTCGACAAAGTGGAAGGAAGCCTTTGAGTATCTATACGACGTATCTTCTCTGACTTGCCAGGGTAAAAGGAACCAGACTGACACTCCCCAGAATGGACAAGGAACCACGACAATTTAACCAAAAAGAACAAAAACAAACAAACAAACAAACAAACAAACAAACAAACAAACAAACAGGACCTATTTCACGTTTCAACTGACAAAAAGAAAAGTAAGAATCCAACGACATGAAGCAGGGGGATTTTTGTTACATGATCTCTTCTTGACTGGGAGGAAGTAATAAGGTTTGAAGTTTAACTTTTGAGAGAAAAAGTGTGCTTACTCTCTGCGTATGGATCCCAGGTTCATCACAAGCTCAAAAATAGCATGCGATGATCCCTCCACTGCACCAATAGATCTTTGGACAGGAATGCGATCCTGCATGACAAGTTGGAAAAACAAATTCCCATTGTGAATAGGCCTAGCACAGATGGTACACCCCTGAACTAGTGGCATACGGACCCAAGTTCGAATCCGGACGAAATCACCTGAACCCCAGTAAAAAACTGAAAGAAAAAGGAAAGCATCTCCTGATTCTCCTCTCCCTTTCCCCACCTCTTGTTTACAGTTTCATGCAGCTTTATACCTCTGTTGCCTTTCCATATCTCCAACATTGCGAACCACAATCTCAACTCACTCTCACTAA